AAGGAAGAGAAGGAGGCTGAAACGCAGACACATCATCTCAGGCAAGAACAGTATCACCAACTTGATTTGTATAAACCAGGCCACTCACATAATAGGACACTTATCTGGGATCCAAAGACAATCACTTTGTCATACAATAAATTATCACAATAAACAACTTTCAGACAGAGGCCTTATGAGCAGACAACAAAGGTCAGATAGGCAGGTATCATACATTTTATAACTATTACTTTGACCTGTATTTTCATTAATTTAATTTTTATTACTTCAGATTGCTTTAGTATCTCCTAATCTATTCACTTTTCTTACATTAAAATTTAGGACCTTCAAAATACTATTTCCCATTAGAGTTAGTTCAGAATCACCTTAATGGAAATTCAAATTTCCTGAGAGCCAATGTCTTCTTCCAAATCATAATTCTTCTTTCTTTCAAGATTCTTAATTTTAAAAGCCAATAAAATTAGACACACTTCTGGATTTAATGCTTATCCATCATTTAAATCACCAGTGGAAATTCAAGAGCAATTCCTAAAACAGCTAATCCATATATGATTTAAAATTTGCTAAAACAAATAACAACAAAAAACCCCTCTGCCTTCTTTAATTCAGATTCATGCTCCTTAATGAGACCCTGTTAATATTTCATGCGCAACCTCTTCCCATTTACTTTAAAATATTTCTGTAATGGAGATTGGAAAATACACCAGGCTCCTATGAGTAATGAAAAATTCAAATGTGTTTAGGAAAGATCTTCAGCTATAATTCAAATAGCGTTTCTTAAACATTTCTAAAAGGACCTATGAGCCTCTGCTCCAGACAAGATTCAGAAGCATGGCAGCATCTTGTACTTAAAAGTAGAACAGTCAGATGGGTGAGTCCACCCTGGGGGGCTAGATGTCAATGTCATTACCAGCCTTAATGATCATCCTTCTCGTGAGGGGCAAGTTTCCACTAACAAAACCAGGTAAACCAGTCATGGAAGGGCAGGTGGTGATGGGAGAGATGCTCTAGCCCACCCATCTGGCCAGAGAGGAGGCCACAAAGAAATTCAAGACCCCAGAACCATTGAGCTCTTCCTTGGGGTCAGCTTGATCACCAAAGGGCTATTTAGGAATGCTCATACTACTGTCCAAAACAGACCTTGCATACGGTCTCTAAACCAATGAGCTCTTTGCGACGTCTCTTGATTTATAAAATGTGGAATATGCTGCTTTTCTTGAAAATGCAATAGCTCAAAATTAAGTATATGTAGCTACATCTGATGATTAGAATGGCATATGGCTTGACATATTGCCACAAATTACATATAATCTATACTGCAACATGTGAACAAGTCCTTAGGGAGTCCTTGGGCTAAGACTCATTAGGAGATCTCAGTGAAATGAGAGATTTTTATAAAACCACAAAATTGACTCCAATTGTGGAAAATCCTGCTTAAAACATAAAGGCACTTTTACAGAAAAATTCATGATTCCACGGGGTTTGGCCCTGTGGCAGCTAATCGATTGATTTGCTCTGCTTTGCTTTATTGCTATCAGAGCTCAATGAAATAACTGTACTTACTCAAACTATTCATTGTTTGTTCCCCCAATTTTTTTTTTTTTTAATTTTTTTTTTTTCAACGTTTATTTATTTTTGGGACAGAGAGAGACAGAGCATGAACGGGGGAGGGGCAGAGAGAGAGGGAGACACAGAATCTGAAACAGGCTCCAGGCTCTGAGCCATCAGCCCAGAGCCTGACGCGGGGCTCGAACTCACGGACCGCGAGATCGTGACCTGGCTGAAGTCGGACGCTTAACCGACTGCGCCACCCAGGCGCCCCATGTTCCCCCAATTTTTAAAACACACTTGAAACAAATTCTATTAAGAGCTTGTAGAATAATATTTAGAGGCAAACATAAAATAATTAACAAAATATTATTCCAAAGCTTGGTCTTGTTCAGTCTAATGCAGTTGGTGTTTATCAAACAATCTAATACATCTCCAAGATTCTATACATACAGACTTAGGAGGCTGGTCAGGTATAGACTGACTTAAGATAGGTTCCATGACACTTGGAAGAAAACAGGAAAATAATTTTCCAAAATCACTAGTTATATCTTATTGTAGCATTTCATTTAAAGCTTATGAATTCAATAAATGCTAGATATGAAGAAAATATATATTAGAGAATTCAAATACGGGACTAGAAGACTGCTACTGTTCTAAAAAAAAAAAAAAAAAAAA